GTTGCCGCTCTGCCTCTATATCATAGGCACAGTCTCACGAGAACATGCTGAATTGTTTACCGATGCAGGGAAAAATATGACTGATCAAAGCCCACACGGTGACAGCTGTCCCTCCCCCCACTGTGACAAATGGTAATGCAGAAACTAGAAATCAGCTGCAACTTTGTACAAACAGCAAGGTTGCCTTTTAAATTCAACTTTTATGACAAATTTTATAAATAATGCCCACAAAGCACTTAGACTTTTATAAAAGCCGATGCTCAAGCTGTAAGCTGTGTATATAGCAACCTGTTTGTCAGCCAAGGAGAGTTTCACCTCCAGACTGACCTCTGAACCTGCCATCCAGTGGAGAAGACATGAGCTGGCAGGCATTGCCAATGTCAGTGCCCAGAGCTGACTCCTTCTTTCTCACCGTCTGACTCATTCATTGGCGTTGTGGCCTCTTCTCCTTGCTTCCTCCAGTCACAGGGCTCTGAAAGACACATAGAGGATGAAGTGGGCCTATTAACCCTCCCCCCCGCTTGCTTCAACCTGCATAGCAACAGGCCAAATGAGCCACTGCTGTAAAACATACTGTATGGGCTTTTGTATATTTGCTTGAGTTCTGTCTTTCTGTGCATATAGTTTTATTAACAGAGTAAGAATTATGCTAAAGATGTGCTGTGGAGTTTTTGACAGCTATTGGCACTGTAGAGAAATGACTTTTTTGAGCTGTTCCCCATTGCATGTGCATGAGAACACTCATGCACACTGGAAGTTTGGGGCAGATGCTGTACACATTTCTGCTGACAGCAGAAGGTGGCTATTGCACATTGACAGCTGGTTCCAGTAACACACCATAACAGATAGCAATTTGGACAATAAAGGAAGCAAGAAGGTGACTGCTGCATGATTTAATCAATGCAGGTTTCGAAACAAATGAGCAGATTTTCACAAGTGCAGCAGTAAATGCATTAAAAATGTTATTTCAAGCCCCAAGGAAAATACTTTGTAGTGAGAAACTTCCAGTAAACAAAAATTCAACAAAGTCCAGTAAAAAAAAAATGGTTTGTTTGCACAGGAAATTCCCCAAGGTACAGAAAATACCACTCCTTAAATAGATTTGACTTTATGAAGCATTCAGATTAAATATGTTTACAACACTGGGGCAATAGACATTAACCAAGTATCAGAATATCTCTGCAACAAAAAAATAATTCAGCAAGTTGAGATTTTGGTGGCCTTCAATGTATTATTTGAGTAATTTAGTGATTATAGATTTATGCTCATTCATTTCTTTTATCTCTAACTGAAAATGTGAGGTTTAGAAGTGTTAGCCTTCACAGTCCCAGATCAGATGAATTGCTACTTGTTGACTTTATCAGTGAAGGAACCAGTGACATTGTGGTTTGTGTGGCCAACCATGGACATCAGCACACATTGATACTGAACCATGGACAACAGCACACATCGATACTGTACACATACCCTCATACAGACTCGAGTTTCTTTCACTTCCTCTCTCATAAACATTTAGCAAATCAAAAGGCTGCTGTAACTTCAAGTTCTCTGGTCAGGCCAGGGCAGATCGGTTAACACTTTGACTTTGAATTTTGAATTGTCTGTCACTTTTTTCACCTTCTTTTGCACCTTCTTTATTTAGATTAAATAATGTGTTTTGTCTGTTTGTCACCAGACCCCTTTTAAACGGTCTGAGAAGGTCTGGCTCATGTGTCTGTAATGGTCATGTAAGGTCTGAAAAAAGCCAGGAAAAAACTGCCTATTTCCTATTTCTTACTAATATAGTTTCCACTAAGTGCACCAGCTATGTTCCTCACATGGTCTAAGAACTTGTTTCACCCATCAAAACAAAGAGCCAGTTAACTGCTTAATACAGGCTTTTATAGCTGCCTTGTGGTTGCAACATCTTGACACCACTGCTCTTTAAAGGGCCATCAGCTCTTGCTGGCTTCCCTGTCATTTGATTGAAGTGTAAAATTAAGACAGGATTACAGGTTGTTTTCTTTTTGTGTAATGTCACACTTGGACAGAACAGAAGCTTTTGGCCGTGAGCACTGGAACATTGCTAGAGTTCCATTACAGGCTGCTGGCCCCTAGCTGATGGTCTCCCTTTTTATGCTCAGTAGAGTTGATATCAATTATGTATTTCTCTATGTTTATAGGAGGCTGAAGGGCTTATTTGATCCCCCCACTCTTTGACTTGTTTCCCTTCAAACATGTCTGAAACATTGTTATCGCCGGCCAGACGCCTTTTTCACAGAGAGTTATTGAATCGTGTCAGCTTGCCATCCCCTGAGTTTCAAATGCAAGCTGTAGAAAAATTAGCCATTGCTTCCGCATGACAAGTGGGATCTATTAGTGTGCTCTAGCCCCGCAAAGCATGAGCATCGAGTGGGCCGCTGGGGACCACGACTGGCTGTGCGCTCGTCAGCGTCAGGCTCCTGGGGCGTTAGACCAATGTTTTAGACAGGAGAAGCAGCAAGAACTGAAGTGGCTCATTCAGTGAGATGACATCCAAAGGGTGAGTGCTGTATGAGCAGTGGCAGCCCAGCTCCACCCCAGCCTCAGCCAGGTCTAAGATGAAGATCATTTAGATCCTTCTTTTTTGACATTTCATTTATATTCACTATAATTCTAAATGTATGCAAGACTGCTTAGGTTATCTTATTTATTAAAACACGTAATAAAAAACTACTTCCTTGGATAAAATATTGGAATTATTAGTAGACTCCATCACACAGCTTTATGGTGACACATACAGCCATAACAGGCTTCTTTTAGGCCACACTGTAGCACAGTAACAGCTTCATTAAACTTTCAGTGCCCTAAACTATCATCACCACTCTGCTGCACCTTTTATTCACTTAGCACATTTTGACATTTTATAACTGGAATAACTGGGGCCATTGTTGAAATGGTACCACGTGAAATGCTCTTAAAGTTAGCAAAGGTGTCCCACAAGGGTCTATTCTGGATCCTTTTTTCTTTACCCTATTGTTAAATAATGTAATGTACATTTTGATTGCATTATTTTACATGCCAACAGCTTATCACCCTTTTTTGCAATTCATTTTACAAATGCAATTCTGATTTTAAACTACCTGTTTAAATAAAGGACACTAACAAACACTGAGGTCAAAGTGCCCCCACCCTGCTCTGGGCCACTGGCTTAGTCATATGCTCAGGCCCAGTCACTGTTGCTGCTCAGCACATTAGCATTCAGAATGTTGTTTATTGTAGTATAAATTTTCAATGACTGCCTGCAGAGGATAGATTTTCAACCACCTTGTCATGCATGTTGATTTAACGTGGCTATAGGTCAGACACCGGCCTATACGCATAATTACCCGAGGCCTGCCACCTCAGTGACCTCCGACAGTGAGAGTCTGTTGAACAACAGGGTCTCCTTCTTCATCACGTGATCATCGTCAGTCAGCCATAACAATAGCTCAATGTAATTATGGGACATACTGGATATTTTACAGTTTTTGAATAAATATGTTTATGTTTTTTTTTCTTTACAGGTATCTCAGTTACAAAGAAGACACATACCTGTGAGTACAAAGATTTTTTTAATAGCTGAAGTTCTTATTTCAGTTGCACTACATCTTATTTGTGTCTGGGTTGACTTAGCTTCTCATTATATTGTAATCTTACTGGTATTGTAACAAATTAGTAACTTCAATCACATCTCTACTTTGCACTTTCAATGTTTTGCATTTCTTCATCCTCCATCCTGGAGAGAATATGATGATAACCCCAGAGAGGAAATTAAAATGCTTTGCAGTCTTATGACTGTTTGATAATCATGCACAGTTGAAGCAAACAGTGTGGTGAGGCACTACTTTGTTTCCTGCAAGGCCTTGCAGCTGAACAACACGGATGTGGTGTTGTGTGGTGGTTTGTAACCTTTGAGGGTGCATTAACTACCAGAGTTTGTATTCTTCAAGTATAGCTCATATCACTAAATTTGAAAGAGACTGTGTAGACATAGAAAGTGACACGTCTGGCATGTGAGAGCCAAAGCTTGTTGGTGCACTGCAACAATAGTACACAGGCTTTGCCTGCTCTAACCATCACTGTCTTTTCAATTTCAGTTTGCTCATGAAAAATTGATGAACAGTCAAACCTGTAGAAATCAATGATTTCCAAGAGATTTGCACTGTATTTTGACATGTTTGAAGTGCATTCGAAAAGGCATGTAGCAACACCTTTGTGTAGTGTATTGCAATGTGTCTGTGTGTGTACATCTATGCATGTGTGTTCATACCCCACTGAGTGAATGTAAGAAACTAGCCCTGAAGGCTATCCTTTCGCTCTGATCACTCTGATGAAACTTGTACAGAGGGAAGGCCAGAGGGCTTTTTTTGTAAGAAAAGTCAGAGTGATAGCCTGCATTTTGCCCTGTAAAACACTCCACCTCTTTCTTACATCAGACAGCGGGGCAAAGAACATGATCTTCTACTCTAGATAGCTCTACCTTACTCAAACAGCCCCGTCAAAACATCAGCATGATTGTGTGTTAAGCTATTTGCTTGTCTGGAGGGGCTATAGTATTTTTTTGATGTGTGTGTGGGTGTGCATGTCCATGTTTGTGATAGGATATCTTCAAGGTAGAACAGAAATGCTTTGACCCACCATCCATTGCTCCACTATCTTAATTAGTGCAGTGCTAAGCACCTCTACACAGGAAGGTGGCTCAAATCAAAGAGCATGATTTAGGAGTCTTAGGCTCAAAGCCCTGGGCAGAGACTGGACTATGCTGTCTCATTGCAATGAGAAAAATTCAAATCTTGTCCATGTGAGGAAATCAAAGTAAAGCCCTTTAACAAGTAGTTGATTGCTGTACCTCACAGACAGGAAGCAGCTGTGGAACTATGTCAGAGCCGTGTGTACAAGAAGACACTCAAGGGCCAGTTAATGGTCATTGAGCATGCGGAGGGAAGGTCTTTTTCGGAGAAGGCTATTATATTGCTGGTGGAGTAATAATGAGGGAGATCACTCTGCCTTACATGGTAATAGTCAGACCATAGATCTATTTCTGTTTCAAAGTGAAAACATTGGCTTCCACACTACGCCAGCTTGGCAGTCTTGCTGCAAGTGTGTGTGTTTGTATGTGTGTTTAGGAGGTTTTCCCAGTCCAACCCAGACCACAGGGATGGTCCATGTCTCTGACTAACTCCTCACTCTGCCTGAGTGATCAAACTGCTGGAAGCTCCCCGCCATGCCAGTCCCCTCATCAATATAAATTACAGGGGCAGCTGTTCACTGGCGGACTCCACTCCTCTCCACTCCTCTCCTCTCCACTCCTCTCCTCTCTTTCTTTCCTCTACTTCCCTCTCCCATTCACCCAACTGGACTAATCATTGAGCCATCAGAAGGTGAAGTATTCTAGATGAAAACAGATACTTATATCATTGCTCCAAACATTGTGCTGTGCTCTCCCTTTTCAGGACTTACATAGATTTACTGTCTGAGGCAGCAGCCTTCCTACTTTCTCTCTGCCTCCCGCTCTTTCTTTATTCCCCATAAGGGGCAGCCCCATGCTTCTACCACAGGGCTCTAATTCTCAGCAAGAAGCAGCTGTGGTTTTCATATGTCCCTGACAGTTTGGTCTGTTATATGGACTTTCCATCACAGTTGCTGTATCTCTAACACCACCTGTGTCAAAAACGGGTGACAATGAAAGATCAGATCTTAAAGATAAGATAAGATAAGATAAGATCTTACATTTTATATTGTAGTTAGATTTTTTTGTTTTGTCTTACTTTGATGGTGGACACTAGATATGTGCTGTTACCTTCTTCTACCTCAGCAGGGATGCATTGCTGTGAGATGAGTTTCTGTTTGGACCTGTTGAAAGAGATGGTGTGGAGCAGAGGATCAGATGCAGCAGCTGATTACACTGAGATTAGACGTCTCACCTCTAATCTGCCATCAGCAGTCTGGGGCTCTGTCTCATGGCTCAAATAGCAGAAAGCTAACTAACACACACACAGGTTGCATAGCCAGGATGCTTTTCCTCAAACACAGCAGATCTCCTGATCACCTAGAGCTAATCCTTTCTCTCTCTCGCAGCTCTGTGTATAATATACTGATTGTCAGCTGCCTGATACACAAGTGTTTGTTTGCATTTCTACATTAAGTTGTGAACTTTTTACAGACTGCTTTGCAAATTATTAGATAAAGCATACAAGTTAAATAGCAGTTTAAATAGCATTTTATAATAAAGTCCAGTTCAGCAATGCCTGAAACTGCCTACCATAAGACATTATTTTGCCAGTTCCCATAATAATCTGTAGTACTGTATATATCTAGTGTGTGTCTGATTCTTGATTGGGAATAGAGTGGCCAGAGGGAGGCAGTAGTACAAATGTATCTCTGGGAAATGAGAAAAGGAGACAGACGAGGCTTCCGTTCTTCAGTCTTGCAGATACACCATAGAGAGCCCCAGTTTTCTTCACACCATATTTATCTCCATTGTGGTGACAAACTCCTTACACTGATTGAGAAACATGACCTTGCTCCTGCATCTTCATATATTTGCTAGCAGCATGTATTGAGTTTGTCTTCATCAGAGATCTGTACTCATATAATACAGCCAATCTGTTTTAAAGGAACCAGATGATGTTGATTCCTCTGCGCTGCTTTAGAAAAACAGAGTGCAGAGTTACAACAAAATTAGATCAGTCATTGAGACTAACTCAAAGTTATAAAGTCAGAGTCTGTAGATTTCATGGCTTTGTGCATTTGAAATTTCCCTTGTAAATGTAGTCTGGTGTATGTTTGGGAAAATATGCTAACAGCGTTATTTATCCCAATAGTGTTCTCTGTGTTCAAATGGCGCAGTGACAGCTTTTACCCTTGTAAAGCATCTGTTTTACCTCTAAATGACATGGCAGATTTCACTTGCATTTCTGAGGTGTAGAATGCTAATACACTGGCTCTGTGAGTTGAGATGTTTCAGTTAATCAAACATGAGATTTATGGTCCTTAATAGTGCTGTACATTGCCAATTTAGGAGAATAATATGTCCCAGTTGCTGTCTAATTTTGCTTGGCAACAGGCGCACTCCTGTGGAATCGCCCGGGGCAGTGTGAGTTGTCTCTGCATAGCTCAGTGTTCCATGCTCAGTGGTTGTTTGAAGGTATTTCATCACATTGTTGCCTTGATTCAGCTCTGTGGGGATTTGTTAGTTGCGCTCATGTGGGAAGTGCATCCAGTACATTGTTAAGCTAGGGCTGATAATGAAGATCAGCCAGCCAGAGTCCCCTGAGCTACGTGGAGAGAGATACTCTAGTGAGACTCACAGCACAGACATAATGGAGCAGGACGAGCATGCACAGTGACACACACAGACGCAGAGGACTCAGCGCAAAGCATACAACACTGAACTGTGCTGTGATGTATTAGAGTAAAAAACACAGTTCAGTAGCACATACAGTACAGTAGATTATTATCAAATACATTATACTCTGTTGTTTTTACTAAACAGTATTTTAGATTTGTAAAATTGACATTAGAATTTCAAGTTTAAACATTAGTTGAGCAATATTGCAATCGCTGTAATGTTATCGCCTTTCTGTTAGAACTGAAATTGACGAAGCAGGGGACAACTAGGCACAGCCACTCTTTCTGTAGAAAATTGTTTGATTCTCAGCATGGCACTCGAAGTCGTTGTTTCCTCTTCTCCCACAGCAACACTGAACGCTTAAACTGACAGTCTGTTTTCCCCTCTGTACTATAGGTTATGTTTCATCTTACTCTATTTGTTTGTTCCACAAAGAGTATTTTCTTTTTGGACATTTTGGTTTAATCTATAATAGATGGCCATTTTTTTTCTGAAATAGGTCAGTGTAATCACAACAGTGAGGGATGGACAGTCTCTGTAAAAGGGAAATCAATAGAGCTATCTATTTGTCATAAACCAGGCCAGCATGATTTTTCTCCATTTTTCCTCTCCCGCCTTACTTTTTCCTCTCCAACACAATATGGCAGGTCCTCATTTTTCAGTAAAAGCATTATGTCTGCCATTTTGTAAAACTGCAAATGGCCTTTGTACATGCACTTTCTTTGCATAAGTTTCTATCAGTGAGGACACTCTTTTTAATCGCCTCCTGGGGGCCCAGGGTGTTTTATAAGGAGGAGAGTGGTGGGAGGAGCTGTAGGGGTGCACAACAGCTTTTTGTGGAGATGGGGCAGCTCGCTTTTGTTGGCTCTTAATCTGGTTCTTCTCTTGGTGCCGGCTCTTTTAGAGAATTTGAGCCGGAGCAAAGAGAGGCCTCCGCAGCGTTTCGTCACCCTTCCCCTTTTGTGTCTCACCAGAACTGAAAAGGTTGTCTTGAAGTGTTGTCAAACTAGAAAACAAGAGTAAGTGACATGTGACAAGGACACAATGCTTGGATGGGCCAGCCAGAGTAAGTGGCCCCATCTGCTGTGAGCGATTTCTCTTCTGCCGGCTGCCTGCTGCCTCAGGTGAAAGGGGCCGGGGAGTGAGGGTTGTGTTGAGATGGTGGTGTCTGCCAGGCGAAGCAGTTGGCATGGCTGGGAGGGC